ATTTCAGTTTCTCATCCAGGAGAGGAGCAGTAATACATTGCGGCTTTTGCATAGGAGGAAACAAGGAAGCGTACTGTAAACAAAACTTTTAATTGTAACAGTGTTGCAACATTAAATTATAACAAATTGATAACTACAGTTCGGTTGGCTATATGATAAAGTTTATGGCAAATAATTAAAATAGAGGAGACAGCACATCTTGCAGACTCATCGGAGGATAAGATTTGATAAATTAAATGTTACCACAGTAACCGAAATACTAATATGATATGCAAATTAAATATTACATTTTTCCTGCGTGAACTATGAAATATTCGGTCCAAGAACAAGAAATTCTAACAGCGTCCTAGGAATTAACTTTAACAATATATAAAAGTCGTCCCTCCTCCCAATATTATTGCTGGGAATCAATTAAAGAAAAATAAGACTGATAGATGAAATAGCAGACAATTGGAAAGAGCTCAGCGGGAAGAACAACTGGGAGGGTCTGTTGGACCCTCTCGATCCTAATCTCCGGCGCTATATAATTCACTGCGGACAAATGGTTCAAGCTAATTATGACGCATTCAATGGCAAGAAGACTAATAAGATGTACAGATTTTCCCGATGTTCACCAGAAGTTTTCTTCTCTGAGGTTAGCTTAGAAAATGGGAATCCATACAAGTATACTGTGACCAACTATTTCTATGCAAGGTATGTTGTTGATTTTCTGGATTGGGTTGTGGCTAATAAATCTGCTTGGATTGGTTATATGGCAGTGGCCACTGATGATGGAAAAGCTGAGTTAGGAAGGTGTTAGAACCTGACCTGCAAAACTACTGACAATACCAACAAACAATTCGACAACACACAACCAACACTCACAGTCAATAAGAAAATACCCAAGTTGTATAAGTAGCCTTCCAGAACCTTACAACCAGTGCACATACAACCAGTAGCTCAGTCCTATCAGTACTCAAGAAGCAAATAACTGGGAAAATATAGCAAGACACTAAGAAAATGACAAACTAAAGGCTGACTTCGAGGGTCAGTCACCTCCCAGAAAATACTGACTTCGAGGGTCAGCTACCTCCCTTCCAATTTACTCTTTCCTTCTTGATATCCTCTTTCTCTCCCCCCCTGTTTTTATTCTCTCCTGGCACCTTTTGTGCTCCTAACCGAATTCCTCCTATATCCACTCCTATCAAGCCATCTGTCCTTTCTAACAAACTCACCCTTTTACGCACACATGTCAGCAATTATTCCTCTGCTTTTTACCCCTGCTCTTCCTATGGTATACCAGCCCTCTTGGTTGTTCATCAGAAGGAGAGACATTTTGATTTCATGGAGGGGAACTCAGTTGGCCGCGGAATTGGTCAAAGATTTTCAATTCACTTTAACATCAGCTTCTGGTATAATTGGTCGAAAACTTGTTGAACCTATGGTGCACTATGGCTTTTACTCCCTGTACACATCATCAGACTGGGACTCCACCAAGAACAAGTCCAGTGCCAGAGACCAGGTGATTTTTATATTGTACTATTTAATAACCAAGGAGTACAGTCAAATAACGTCTTAAATGAACTGTTACAATTGGTATGTGGGTTATATACAGGTTCTTCGTGCACTAAGGACATTAGTGTATAAATACAAAGAGGAGGAAATCAGTATAACAGTAACAGGTCACAGTCTAGGTTCAGCTCTTGCAACACTAAATGCAGCTGACATAATCGCCAATTGTTATAACAAGCCCCACAGGGTCAGACACTACATGCATAGTCACGGCCCTCGTGTTTGCTAGCGCTCATGTTGGAGACTAGGGCTTCAAGACTGTTTTTGAGGGACTCAATAATCTTCATCTTTTGCGTATCAGAAACGCTAATGATATTGTCCCGGATCTTCCACCTATTGGCTACTTTGAAGTTGGAAAAGAATTGAAAATTGACACCACCAACTCACCTTATCAGAGGACTGATATCTTACCTCTACTTGTGCCGTTATTTTGCCATGGTTTAGAAAATTATCTGCATGGAGTAGCGGGGACACAAGAAAATGGCGAATTTGAGTTAGTAGTCGATCGTGACATTTCACTCTTGAACAAAGAGTTGGATCTTTCAAAGAGTGAATACGGTGTACCACCTGAATGGTGGATTGTAAAGAATAAGAGCATGATTCAATTGGATAATGGCTTCTGGAAGCTGGAATATTATGTGCCAGACCCTCCGAGTACCAAATGTTCTTGCGGAAATTAATGTCAGTGTCCATTAAGTTGAGGGATAATTTATTGTCCAGCACTACGTGTCTCAAGGGCCAAGGCGGACACAGAAGAAAGGCCCAAGACCACAATGGATAAACTAATTTACCGAATTGCATTGTTATCAAGCCCCCGTCCTTTTTATTAACAGCCTCCATTTACAGCTACAGGATAAATTTGTAATAAACAAAAAGAGGAACACTACGATTCACAAACACTTTTTATTAATTTTTTCTTACATACATCACATGTCAGTTTACAATTTATCAATTCACATGGGTCTTACCTATTTAATAATGAATCCTATCTCATCAAGCTAATCACAAACTCCCACGTGAGGTTAGTGAGAGAGACTTGTTAGGTTAATATTATTGAAACAAAAATTGTAAGTCCAGAATTTGCTGCCACCCTCTTTTTAATTTTCATCAAGAGTAAACGAGTTGTTCCCACCCAAATAATGGCTTAATGACAGTTTTCCACCCACATGTTTTTAAAATACTATTTTGCTACCCAAATTTATATTCCATTTCTGATTCCGACATCGTTGCAATTCCACACTACCACTATTCTCTTCTTCAATCATCATTCACTAAAACCTCTCAAACCTTACTCCTGTAGACCCTACCAATTGCCGACAGTCGAGCAATTAGGGTTTACGTAAACGCCCCTCCTAAGTCAAATTCTAATCAATTTCAACTATCAAAATCTAACATTCTACTACCAAAAGACTCATCGGTTTCCTCTCTTCAAAAACCTCAACAACCTGAGCCAAGTTTGCTCTTTGTTCATCGCCAGATTATAAATTTGAGTAATAAAATAGTATTTTAAAAGTCTGTGGGTGAGAAAGTGCCATTAAACCATTATTTGGGTAGGAAAAAGTCGTCTCTTTCATCAAATACAAACCACTGCTTGCGGAAAATTGAGAAAAAGTAACAAAAACTCAAAGGATCCATATCTAATTTTTGTATTTAAATCTTCAAAGTTTGCTTTCTAGTTTCACACAAATATCTCCAATAAAAAACGTGTAAAAGAAAATGATTGGAAACAAGTCAACTTATGAAAAAAATAGCTCATCATGCTATCCTTTTCTACTATTATTTGTTAGCGATGGCAACGTGGACGTTACAGAATAAGCCAGGTTTGCAAAATGAAATCACATTTACAATCAATATCTTTCAAAGGATTATCTCATTCAGTCAACAAATTAAAACTATATGTTATGATGATATCACTTCATGACTACAACAACTATCTTTTAAGGATTGTTTGTTAATGAACGTCAGGGTAACTGATAGAAGTCATTTTGTTTATGGAAAAATACTATTTTGTCACTTTCAGTTGACAAATCATAAAACTCCGCATGGTTCTCAAGAAGTATGGTTGGACCTGTATTTAGATTGTTAATTAATGTATTTTAGGAAAAAGTTTAAATAAGAAGTTTAAACTTAACATATAAGTAAGGCTATAGCAGGCCAAGCAAATTGAGTAGATGACCTGCTCTATAAATTTCAAAGTATTTTTTTTTCTTTTTAAATAAATCATAGCTAATTTAGAGGAAAAATGAAAGACTAATTACCATCGAGCATTATATATCACTGTATCATAGATTAGACATTCAACAGTTGCTGCCTGCCCTCTGCAAGTGGATGACGAAGACTTTATACAAACTAAAAATCAAAAAGTTGAAGTTGAAGTCGATACCATTTCCTTGATGGTCCAGGATGCTGTCAATCTGATAATAACATTCCCAATATTTTTCGGACGCAAGCTCAGTAAAAGTGTTTAGCTAGTTAATGGATTCTAAGATGCCTCATAATGGACTTTGATTTCTTGTACATTTGATAACTTGCACTATGAACAGTAATTGGAGAACCATGCATGGTGACGAACTCTCTTAAATCGCCTAGCTGACATACATACTTAAACAAATTAATCATGAATAAAAGGAATAATTAAGCAGGGTTTTGGAATGGCTACTTTAATTCTCAAGGAGAAAGATATTTCAATGGTTGAAAATTGCTCATAAATTAAGTTGCGCTCTGTTGTCCATCGTTATCTTGAGCTCTGTTGTTTATATATATAAAACCTTTGCAAATGATTGATTACTGAATATCTTTGTAGAAAGATATTTCGTTTCAATTCTCTATTAATTAGGGCTGAGTTTGGGCTTCTGCGTATGTAATCTCTGAAATAATTGTTATTTGTATCAATTATTCATACATTCAAATAATAAAATTATGATATGTATATAATTGAAGTCATTTTGTCGGTTTAATACTTTCATTTTAAAGGATTTTTTTAAGTAACATATGATCTTATGATTTTATTAGGAAGAAAAAAAAAGTTCTCACAGAAAATTCATGGTGTGGCTACACCGTAGTGATGTTGGTATTATTACTTCTATTAGTGCATTGTTGAAATTGGATGAGTTGACAATTAAACACTGAAAAGATATTAATATATATGGAACGCAATACCAAACCAATGAAACTTCTGGAAAATTATGGTAGTGGTTGATGGTAGGAATTACATAAATTGCATTACGTTGTTTTACAGTATTTTCTTTCTGGAAACTTGTCCGATTTCTAACACAATTTAATGTCCGATTTCTAACACAATTTAATGTACGATCAATAATAAGTGGAACTGGCAGAAAATTCCTATAAAACTCAACTTTGGTTTTGCCTTTAATGCACAATTGCACTCCTAAGTCCTACCACTTAATATCTTTTCTTCTCCAATTAAATAAAACTTCGATAGTGAAACAATGCAAAGCGCGGTGACGTTTTCTAGCTGCAGAGGTGTTTCCTTCGAGATCAAACCTCATGCAGATCCATTTGCCATCACAACATCAGCTGAAGATGAGCGCCGCGTCAGCAAGAGATTCTGGCCTTTATTGAATCAAACCAACTCCTCCGAAGTGTTCCCTACTTCTGTAATAAACTCTATAAGCGGAGACTGCAGTAGCCACCTCTGTGATCTTGACCTTGATCATCTAAATGTCCGTGATGGTAATGCTGAATATGATGCCGCTTTGGAGATATTAGAAGCAGGGAATAACAAGGAGAAAGACCACAACCCAACCTTTCCGTCATCCGGTTGTATACTTGAGCAGCCATCAGAAGCTGTACGTAAGAAAAAATCAAGGTTGTCGATTATATTGCTGGATCAAGTTTTGTTCACGGTTTACAAGCACCTCTTTGCAGTTTGCTTGATCCTCAACAGTAGTTTGTTGGTTCTTGCTGCTATGGGTCATTTCCCATATGCCAAAAATAGGGCTGCCCTATTTTCCATTGTAAATATTCTTGTTTTGACACTATGCAGAAGCGAAGCCTTCTTGCGAATTATCTTTGGGCTCGTAGTTAAAATATTTGGAAGGTCTTGGGTGCCTCTACCTATCAAAATCGTTACCACTTCTCTTCTTCAAAGTCTTGGTGGTATACATAGTGGTTGCGGAATTTCTTCAATTTCTTGGCTGATGTAGGCCTTGGTTCTTACACTTAAAAACAGAGAAAACACTTCTCCAGAGATCATAGGCGTTGTCTCTGCTATTTTTTCTCTTCTCTGTCTCTCCTCATTGGCTGCATTCCCTCTTGTTCGTCATCTCCATCACCATGTATTCGAAAGGATTCATAGGTTTGCAGGATGGACTGCGTTTGGTCTCCTGTGGGAATTTGTTATCCTTACAATCTCTTATGACCCGAAAACCAGATCCTACACAAATGAACTTGGTTCAAGGCTTATAAAACAACAAGAATTCTGGTTCACCGCAGCCATCACAGTACTAATTATCATCCCATGGTTGACAGTGAGGCGCGTACCCGTTAAGGTCTCTGCTCCTTCAGGTCATGCCTCTATCATTAAGTTCGAGGGGGGAGTCAACGCCGGTATGTTGGGAAGGATTAGTCCATCCCCATTATCCGAGTGGCATGCTTTTGGTATTATTTCTGATGGGAAAACAGAACACATGATGCTCGCCGGTGCTGTTGGTGACTTCACGAAGTCTTTAGTTTCAAAACCGCCAAGCCACTTGTGGGTTCGACAGGTGCACTTTGCCGGTCTGCCTCATCTCATTAACATGTACGACAGGGTTCTGTTAGTTGCTACAGGTTCTGGGATTTGCCTGCTCGTCATTCCTGTTGCAGCCATGTAGAGCTAGTGTGTGCTTGGTTTGGGTGGCTAAAGGGATTGCACAAAACTTTGGTAAAGAAATTAAGCAAATGGTAAATGGGCATCCCGTAGACGGTGATAGTGCTCGTCCAAATGTGTCTCAAATGAGCGTCGATGCTGCTAAAAGATGGGGAGCTGAAGTAGTGATTGTTACAAGCAACCCTGAAGGAAGCAGAGACGTTGTAAATGCGTGCAAGTCAGCAGGAATTGCAGCTTTCGGTCCCATTTGGGACTCTTAATTTAGTTATCCTTTTAACAAGATTAAGAAAATGTCATATCTGTTAAAGATATAAACACTGCCTCTCTCACTTCTAAAATTCTTCATCATCAAACATGCCAGATTGCCAGATCTTTCCTATACCAGATCACCGTAATATGGAGTAGTCTATAAGCTGTATCCACTACAAAAAAGCTAGTTGAAGTCTCATGACCAAAATGCCAGATTTTAGCATATAGTACTAGTGTGTGGAGTGATCACTTGAAACTGAGTGGAGTGCACGTGTCACTTGATTGACTGTGACTCACTGTAAGAATGAAGAAAATTAAAAAAAAATAATAAATAAATAAAACATGTCCCGTCTTGAGCTTGTGAGCCAACCTCGTTCTCGAGTTTTGCAACATAATAGTATAATTAATTCTGTTATGCCTAAAGAATCAAGGTTGACGTTAGCTTACGTCAATGGACACCAATTAAAGTTTAGAAAGACTTTATACTGCCTAGAAGCTGTCATATCACTCCATGACAGAAAAAATATGGCTGTCATCAACTTGGCAGATTCAGGTTTTGTCCATAAATGATAGAAGGCCGCGCACATGTCCAAACCCTAAGTAATTTGAGGATATTTCCTAAGTTATTAGCCAATGGGAGACTTGCACGACACCTACCACTTGCAGATTTGTAATCATTACCTTGAATTCCTTTACTATAAATAGAAGACTTCCCTTCTCATTTTCGAGATTCTGATCCTGAACTCTCATTCTGATTGTAATCTTTATTTTCAGAGCAAAGATACCCACGAGAAAGAGACTGACTTGATATTCTCTCTGAATACCCAGTTATTGTACCTCTGCTCAATGTTCGCTATACGCGACTTATTGTAACCTCTCATATCTAAAAGAAACAGTGGATGTAGGATTCGCTTTAGGCATCCGAACCACCTTAAAAGTCATGTATCTAATTTATTATTCAGTCTTTGCATCTCATCTCAATCATTCACGTGCAATTTTTGAGAACATCTTAGCACTTTGCACGTGCGAGTTGTTGGTGTCAAAATCAAGCATCAACAGTTTGGCACTAGAAGAAGGGTGTGATTTAGTATCTGCTCTTCATCAAGAATTTATGATCAATCAGCTTTACTCGCGAACAAATGGCTCGTAGTCTTGAAACCGAGCGAACTAGCACCAACAGCGAGGAGATCCCCCAGGTACAAGATGTTACTTCTCCCGAAGTACCTCCAACTCTGTATGGTACCACGGTGGATATCCCTTTGACCTCTCAGCTCGACCCAGCTGTAATGGATTACCTGGAGAGATTCAACAATACTTTCCAAACGGTTAGCCGAATGCTAGATTGTTTAGATCAGGTCATACTGCCCAATTCCGACAAGGTAGTGCCACCGCCAAAAATGCCTATAGGTCATGCTAAAGAACGAAAACGGGCGAAAGCCCATGTTGTGCTTGCTACAGCGCATAAAGACAAAGGAAACCAGGTGGCAGATAATAGGCCAAAGGGCTTAAAGGGACCAGTGAATACCGGTCGTGAAGCGGGTATAATACGTGTGACTTTGCGACTTGGTGGCATGTCGCATCATGAGCCATCCCACGCCATATCGCATGGGCAACCCCACAAGAGTGCAAGGCAAGGAGACTCCCATTATCACTAGAATGATGGTTCTGATCATTACCGCGAGGAAAATGCCCACCATCCATGGGTCGATTCTAACCATTGTGGAGGTCGGGATAACTCTCCTAGTCATTCAATGCCTTCGCATGGCTGTAGCCATTTTGTGTCTTGGTATGCCAAAGGCTTCAACCAAGGCACGGAAGAGTCCGATTTGCAGTCTTTCCTTAATCGTAATCGTAAGGGGCAAACCCACATTGTGGAAAGTGATCCCCAGGTAGCTCCGTTTTCTTAGATTGAGGAGTTACAGCGAGCTCTGGATCAGCAAAATGAGCAAGGGCAGGTCGCTGAGGCATCTCCCTTTTCTCCGGCAATGTTGACTTCTCCTCTCTTGTCAAGGTTTAGAATGCCCAATATGCTAGCGTTCGATCGGAATTCTAATGCACAGGATCATCTTTATGAGTTTAACAACCTTATGGAGCTTCACCAAGTTTATATCTTGGCGAAATATTGTTGCTTAGCAGTGACTCTGATTGCCCATGCCAAGCGCTGGTTTAGATCGCTTCCACCAGGATCTATTAACTCATGGCAGCAGATGAGCTCGTTATTCCTGAGACACTTCCAGGCTAATAGGAAGTTCTGAAGGCCATTGAGCTATCTAAGCAACATACGGTAGGAGAGGAATGAGTTCCTCAAGTCCTATATTGATAAGTTCCACAGGGAGCTAAATAAGGCGGCTAATACATCTGAAGATTCAGTCTGAACTCTCATTATTGTAGGAGTTCGCCCGCAAACCGACCTATGGAAGAAACTGCAATCTGAAGATGATATTTCCTTCACCCACTTCTACAACCTCATTGAGAAATATCTTAGAATTGAAAATTCAGTGGATGCCTTGAATCGCCACGACCTTGGTCCTTTGACTAACGCTCCTAATTGGAGGGGGGAAACCAGGGAGAGAGTAGTAGAAAGCCTGATAGCAAATAGGCTAATGACGATCATAGAAAGGGAAAAAAACAGCAATTTAAGCCCAAAAAGTCTTATGCCCAGGTCCCTTGTTGCAATCGTGACAAGAATCAGTATACTCCGCTGAATGTATCGATATTAGCTATTTTGGATAAATCAGAAGAAGCTAATCTGCTCGGAGAGCCAGTGCCCATGAATAATCCACTTTCAACGAGAAACTGTAAGAAATATTATTGTTATCATCAGGATAATAGGCACCATACCAATGAATGCCGAGCTCTTAAGTAGGTGATTGAAGACCTCATTAAAAAGGGGTACCTCAAGGAGTATGTTGATGGTCTAACTCCCGTTTTAGAGAAGGATCAAGGAGACTAGGGGAAGAAGCGTTGTGGTCGCAAGGGCCTCCATCTCGTCGAAATTATATTTGGAGGACCACACGTCGTGGGGAATTCTCTAGGTGCTTAGGAGAAGTATGCTTGAGAAGCTCGCCATGACCTTGTGAGTGTGATGAACACGATATCGCGACCTACTAAGGTACGTAGAGAGGAGAAGATTACCATCTCAGAAAAAGACGCAGTATGATTGCATCACTCTCATGAAGAGGCACTCGTCATCGCGACTGAAATAGGTCGGTGTGAAGTCCACAGAATGTTGATGGATAACGGGAGTGCCGTAAACATCCTATTTCAACGAGCATTCAAGGAAATGCAATTGGACGAGGTAGATATGAAGCATGCCTCTATCCCCCTCTATGGTTTTATTGGGGATCATTTGATTCGCATGGGAACGAATGCACTTCCTGTCACTTTAGGTGAGACCCACGAAGTGACTAAGATGACAGAGTTTCTGGTGGTAAATTGTCTGTTTGCTTTCAATGGTATATTGGGACGACCTTTACTACGAATATTCAAAGCTGTTACCTCCATTTATCATCTGAAGATGAAATTTTCCACTCTAACGGGGTGTAGGAAGATCAAAGGGTCTCAGCATGAATTTCGCAACGCTATGGAAGAACAGTGCAGATGGCATGCAAAGGGAAAGGGAAGCCAATGGGCATTCCCGAGTAGGCTCTGGCAATCAATAGGATCGAACCACAGTCAAGTCTAGTGGAAGATAATACATATCCTCGTGTTTAGGAGAAGTATTCCTATAGTGGGCATATTGAGACTCTATTTAAGGTATCAGTCAACTAGAATGAGCCGACTTATGTGTTGAGAATTGGAAGCAATCTTAGCCCTCATCTCACTATTAATCTAATGAGCTTCCTCAGGAAGAATATTGATGTTTTTGCATGGGCTCATGCTAACATGGTCGGGATCAGCCCGAATGTAATATATCATGCACTTAACATTAATGGTGAGGTCAAGCCAGTTCGCCAGAAGAGAAGAGCCATGGACCCAAAGAGATATGTTGCTCTTAAGATTGAGGTGGATAAGATCCTCTCAACTAGGTTCATTCAAGAGACTCATTACTCGAGTTGGGTCGCCAATCCTGTTTTGATGAAAAAACCCAATGGCAAGTGGCAAACCTACGTTGATTTCATGGATCTCAACAAAGTTTGTCCGAAGGACAATTTCCCTTTGTCTAGAATCAATCACCTCATTGATGCTATTGTTGGGCACGGGCTGTTAAGCTTCATGGATGCCTACTCGAGGTATAATCAGATTCTGATGTACACGTTTGACGAGGAGCATACCTCGTTCATCACAGATCGAGGATAATATTACTATAAAGTCATGCCTTTCGGTCTAAAAAACGCTAGGGTGACCTATCAACATTTTGTTAATCGCATGTTTTCCAAGCAGATCGAGAAACCAATGGAGGTCTATGTCGATGACATGCTGGTCAAGTCGCATGTCGCTTTAAATCACATAGCCAATCTCGTAAAGATGTTAGACGTACTTCGGAGATATAGAATGAAACTTAATCCTCTTAAGTGTTCATTCAAAGTATCCTCAGGGAAATTTCTAGGGTATATGATTAACCATTGGGGGATTGAAGTCAACCCCGAGAAGATCTAAGCTCTCATAGATACAAAAAGTCCCGCCAATTGAAAGCAAGTTCAAAGCTTGAATGGGATAATAGTGGCTCTCAATTGCTTCATATCGAGAGCAACAAATCGTTGTTTGCTGTTCTTCAATATACTCAAGTCCAATAAGAAATTTGAATGGACTTTAAAGTGTGAGCAAGCCTTCCAAAGCATAAAAGAGCATCTCAAAAAGCCACTTCTCCTGTCCAAGCCCCTTCCCAAGGAAATATTATTTCTCTGCTTATTTGTCTCTCAGTTTGTGATCAACGTAGCTCTCATTCGGGAAGAGGGCAGAATTCAGTGGCCAGTATATTACAAGAGCAAACTACTATTGGACACCGAGACATGGTATCCAGAGATGGAACGATTAGCGTATGCCCTGCTGATCGCTTCCAGGAAGCTGA